ATCCATCAGGGGAAGAGGGAGAGTATATTCATATTGAGTAATTGTAGAGGGGGGGAGGGACAGGAGAGAGGGGGGGGTGAAAGGAGGAGGGAGGGGGGGGGGCAGGAGAGAGAGGGGGGGGATGGGGGGGGGGGGGGGGGGACAGGAGAGAGGGGGGGGGAGTGGGGGGGGGGGGACAGGAGAGAGGGGGGGGGACAGGAGAGAGGGAGGGAGGGAGGGGGAAAGGAGAGAGGGGGGGGGCGGGGGGACAGGAGAGAGGGGGGGACAAGAGAGAGGAGAGAGGGTGAGGGGGGGGGGCCGGGATCATCACCATCTCCATTACCATCACCATCACCATCGTCACATCACCATCATCATCATCATCACCATCATCATCATCATTATCATTATCAATATCATCATCATCATCATCATCATCATCATCATCATCATCCGGAGCGCCCCGGATGGGCGGCACTGGCCGGAGGCCACTACAATATATATATATATATATATATATATACACATACATATATGTGTATATATATATATGTATATATACACATATGTATACATACATGCGTACATCCATACATACATACACTCACACTCTACATATATGCATGTACACATACATACATCCATACATGCACACAGTTATGCACATATACCTACATGCATTGATACGTACAGACACACACACATACATGCATACCTGCATGCAACCATACACACATGCATGAAACCGTACATACCCACACGTACATAAGTATATGCATGTCCGTACATGCATACACTCATTCATACCTACACATTCGCATACACACATGCGTAACTGCATCCATACGCACTCACATGCATACACATACATACATGAAATACGTTTATACACACATACATACCCCAACACATACACACACATACATACACAACTACGTACCTACACAGCTATATACGTGCATGCATGCACGCATACGCACGTGAACATATGCAAACACACACACACACACACGAACACACACACATACATACACGCATGCATGCATCCATCCATCCATCCATGGATGCACGCACACACGTAAGTATATACAGATATGGACATCTATAAACATGCATCTATGCGTGTGTATGTATACATGCGTATGTATATATGGGCATGTATGTACGTACGTATGTATGCGTGTATGTGTATGGATGGAAGTTTGTATGACTTGGTAGATGCGTGTATATGTAGATACATACATACAGGTGTGTGTATGTATATATATATATACACATATAAATAGAGATCTATAGCGCCACCGTGCCGCTGGGCACGGAGTGGGCGTGTCCTCAGGTCCTTTACATGACCCTCTAAGCACTCCTGGAGTCTTCAGGGGCCTGGACCCCGAATTCGCCCCCTGGGCCCTGGCGCATAGTGGGGCCCGAGCGGCCAACGACCGCACCAAGACGCCCAAGATGGCTTAGGACGGCCCAAGAGGCCGCCAAGATGTTTCAAGAGGCCTCCGAGAGGGGTCCCAAGAAGGCCCCAAGGGGCAACAATCATTGATTGCCCTTAAGTTTTACGAAGATTTGGGGGTTATCGCCTTTTCTGTTTCGGGACGCTCCAAGATGACCCAAAAGGCCCAGACAGCCCAAAAGCGCCAAACGACGGCCCATGAGGCGCCCAAGACGGCCCAAGAGGGCCCCAAGACGGCCGCGCCCAAGAGAGGGAACACGAACCGAAAATCCGAGCCTTCCGCCCCAAGAGGCGCAAAGGAGGCCCCCGAGAGGCCCCCCACGAGATCCGAACGAACATCAAATAGGCTTCATACCCACAACCCAGACACGGTGGCAGGATAGGCCGAAGGCCATTCTTTACGTATATATATATATATATACACATTTGTATACATATATATATATATATATATATATATATGTTTGTATACAAGGTATATATATATATACACACATAGAGGTATGTGTACGTGGGTATGTATATATGTGTATATATATATAGAAAGAGAAAACAATAGAGATCTACGTATATAGGTATGTATGTATGCCTGCATGTCTGTCTGTGTCAACGCATGTATGAATACTTGCATGCATTTATGTATGTATGCATGTCCGCATACACATTCGGACATACATAACCACATGCATAAAACACATGCATGCGTATGCACACGTGTATCGGTACTTGTTGATGTATATGTATTCATATACGCACATACATACATCTGTTTAAACATGATATATATGTATGTATATATATGTGTACTCATGCTGTGATTGTATGACTTCCGCTGGCATGCCACCCTTCCTCCCCAGTCCCCATCCTCCGCCTCGTCCCTTCCGTCCCCCTCCGTCCTCCCTCCTCCCCCGGGGGCCGACCGCGCGCTCGCGCCTTCGCACACGCTCCCGGGCAGCAGGGGGCTCACCAACCCCTCGGCGACGCACCGCCGCAGCCGCTGCCGGAACGAGTGCCTCCGGCTGCGGTCCGGCTCCTCCGCGATCCCCCAGGGCGTCCGCACGCTCACGGCCTGGTCCAGCCAGCGGCCAGGGTTGCGGTAGCTCCAGGGCTGACGGCCAGGGGGCCAGAGAGCTCGGGAGGGAGAGAGAGAGTGCAGTCGTACCTAGGCCACAAGGACATCCCTCAGGAACATGAGACCCTCCGCCGGCCAGAACAGACAGACAAATCTAAGGGTACCCTCCCCAGGATGCACACGAGCATCCAACAAACACGAAGAACACTAGGGTACTCTCCCCGAGCCGACCTCGGTCTTACACCTCGGCCCGACTGTATCAACGACACGCTGCCTCGCCATCGCTCGGACGACCATTCTCCGTGCGCTTTTCGATTTCGCGCGCCTATTTGTTCGCAAGATGATCCAGGACGCTCCTCGACGGCCCTCGCCGAGGACGTGCACACGTCCAAGCGATGCCACGCTGCCGCTGGCGGCCCGTCGACGACGCGCTACGCCTTCGCTCTTGTCTGGAGGCCCGGTGGCTGGGCTCCCCCCGGCGACGTGTCACGGATACACAAACAAATAAACACAACTCCCAGGATTCCCCGTGTTCATTCATGTTTTCTGGATTTTCGTCTTCCCCCCACTTCCCATATTCTCCTGGGGGGCGACGATTGATTTTGTCTGCTTTTTCCCCTCCTGAGCTTTCGGTCCCCGAAGAGCAGCATGGGCGCAGGCATTTCTGTTTGCGCGAAGGGCGCCGGGGAGGCCCACCCCCAAGGGAGAGTGGTCCTGGACACCTTTGGGTTTCCTCTCCTCGCTGACCCGTTTCCCTCCCTCCTCCTCCAACGCGGAGCCCTTCTGCCTACCCTCGCGCAACACTGGGCCAGACGGTGTTTTCGCCGCCCAGGCTCGGCACCGTCTTCCGTGTTCAGTTTGTGCACTTCATCACACGCACGTGTCTGTCTTGATACTGGTTTGAAGATGTGCCGCCTGGGCGCGGCTTCTGTGCGCGTGTGGCGCGGCCAGCGACCGGACAGAAGAGGCGGCTCGACAAGACCGAGTCAGTCGCGTCAGCGCCATTCGGGCAAGGGGGGGCCCAATGTCGCAGCAAGCCGCTGACCGCAGGGCCGCTGGAGGAACTGGATGCACGAGCATCCTCCTTGACGGGCAGCACGCCCATCCGAAGATGTACACGACTGGGCAGCTCAACAATTTCCTTGCCAATGTCCCCATTATGTGGATGCCGACTCCCACGCACGCGGCGTAGATGGAGGACGGACAGAAACGTGGTGCATCACGTGACCTATTGCGGCCCACCCGTCCTCGTCCACGCCCCTCGAACAAGTAGGACGCCAACTCATCTATCTGCCAACGGCCTGCCGACACCAAGGCGTGTGACTGTGCCTGTGGAAAGGCCTCCAGTCACGTAATTATCCCTCAGCGCCGCCTGCATCGCCCCGCCACGCTCCACAATTAACGCTCCCCAGGACACCCCACGAGAAGGACACTGCCAAAGACGGGAAGGTGCTTCCCCGTCCAAAGTCTCCGTGACCTGTCTGTGCAGCACCGCCACGCCAGGGCGCTACCCTACGCCCCGACGAGGGCCCCGCAGCTTGTCCATCGTACGCCTGGCCCGGCTGGAGGAGGCTCCAAACCTACCAGTGGGATGCGGGATCTCTCGCCAATCCTCCTCCTCCTCCTCCTCCTCCTCCTCCTCCTCCTATGGCCACATCGTCCCCCTACTCCCGTCGCCAGGACTGGGGGGTGGTGCTGGTGCGCTCGCCGTCGCGACGCCTGGTGACGCAGCCTCCGTCGCACAACATCCTTCCGCGGTGTGACCCACGAACTCAACGAACTACAACGACCACCACCCGACGTCGACACCGACCCGCCGCGCCTGGCCGACTAACCCCACCCCCCCTCCGATGCGCCTGAGGGTCCTCCCAGTGGGCTCCCGACCCCTGCCGACCCGTCGCCCCTGCGCTGTCTCCGCTGGCGCCGAAGGGCAGTGGCATGGTCGCTCGGTCACCGCCAAGACATACACACCAACCCCAACGCCACCGACCGACGACGGACGACGACTCACCCCGGTCCCCCGCCGCCTCCCCCGCACCCCTGGGCCCTCGCGGGCTCCCGACCGTCCTCCCCTGCCGCCTGTGTTCTTCGGCGGTTCGCCCGCCCCCCGCCTCGGCCACACTGGGCAAGGGCAGTGCGGTGCCTGTCCTTTTGATGGGGCAGCGCCACTGGGGCTCTCCAGCCATGGTACCTTCACTGCCCGCTACCTCATGCGGCATACCTGCTGCGTCCTGCCTTGTCCCGGGTTGGGCACTGCTTCCCCACTTACCACGTCTCTGGACTGCCTGTGCCCGCCATGTCCTGCCTTGCTTCCTCGTTGTCGCTGTTGGCATGCACTGCGTCTCCACTTGCACCCCACCACCCTGGTTGCCGCACACCCACGCTGCCCACGCCAGTGTATGCGTATGGCACGGGTGATCCTCTGGATCCCTGCTCCTTTCTCAGGGGCCAGCCGCGCGCGTCTCTAGCCCGCCTGGGCACACTTTCTCCGCCTCGTCGCTGCGCGCGAGGCCGCGATCGCAAAAAGTGTATGGCGTTGTGGGGGTCTAGTCCCAAGAAGGGGGATCCTCAAGGGCGCCTCACTTCGCGCCCCTGCGCTGCGCGAAGCGCGAAGGACTTTGCGCTCTCGCGCCGCCCCCCAGGGGAGGAGAGGAGGACGAGGAAGAATCGGAGCCGAACCGCGCAGCGCGAAGAGCTTCGCGCCCTCGGGGCGCCCTTGGGCCCTGGACGCCCCCGGCCTTTCCCCCAGGATCGGCTCTTTGCCCCGGGTCGCTTTCTGGCTCCCCGGAGACCGGGGCAGGGCACACGGGGAGGCCGACCACGACGGCGAGGAGCCTCGGGACACGGTTCCCGCCAAGATCCTCCATGTTGGCTACCTACCAGACCACCCCGACCGAACCCGAAGACCCACATGTCGGGTTGGGGGGGGGTACGGGTTACGCATGTGTTTGTTCGATGTTCCCCGAAGCCCCCTCCCACTGGAAATGGAGAGCAAATTGGGGCCTTCGGCTAGGGTTGGGGTGGTGTGGTGGGTGGTGACATGTCATGTCTCTCGGCCTCCCAGGTGAGGCCCAGCAGGTGGGTCCCGGAGGAGCGCCGCCGCATCGCGGGTGCACTTCGCCGAGGCGCCCCCCTGCGGAGCCCGCTTAGCTCCGGGCTGACATCGCCGATGCCTGGGCGCTGCGGCGCGATCCTCCGACACCATCTGGGAGGCCTCTGATCTCTTCATCCACGGCGAATGGAAATTTGGACGTCCGCGGACGGTGATCGACGCCCCCCCCACTCCCTCACACACCCCTGGCGGCCAGCAAGTACGCGCTCAGCGGGCTCGGGGCTTTGAGCGTCTCCGAGTTTTGTTGGCCCCCTGGGGCGCCCACGTCGGCACGGCTGGATTCTCTTTCGAAGAGAGAGCCAGAGCGCAGCCCAGGAGAGGTCCGGGGGTCGACTTTGACGCCCGCGTGGCTGTCTGGCCCCTTTGGATAGATCACGCACGCGGGGTTGATCATCGCGGGGATATGGCTGAAGGTGCTCTTCGCCATCACGAGGACGTGCGCCGAGGCCATGTGCGCCCACGCGTGCATGGGGTCGCCGTCGAGGTGGACGGTGATGTTGTGTCGGGCGTACTCCTCGAAGTCGGACGCGCTGTGCCTGCCCTCCGTCGAGCTCCAAGCGTGGATGTCCTGGCTCGGGAGGGGGAGGAGGGGACATCGAGCCGGAAGCGGGGATGCGCCGCCGACAGATGGGCGACAGGCCCCCGATAGCGAAACCGCAGGGTCCTGGGCGGGGTGGGCCATCAGGCCGGAGTCGGCGACACGTGCGCGAATTGGGGGTCTACATGCGCTCTTTCCTGAGCCTAGGTCCCCCCCCCTAACGTGGCCTCTGATGCTCGAGGCTCAGGCGTGTGCACGGGTGCTCTAACACCTCTGAGTGGCCCCGTCGTCGAGCGAGGCCAGCGAGGAAAAACACCTTTCCTATCTCACGGTGTCGCCGTGAGTTCTCCCCCCCTAGCGTTGCCCCCGATGTCCGCCGTGGGCAGGATGCTCCGGACATAGCGTGCGATCAGGAAGTAGTAGGCGTCCGGAGTGAAGCGCATGCCGCCCGCGCCGTGCCCTACGTCGTTGCCGCGCCGGACGTGCAGGGCGACCCGCGGGGCGCCTGGCCTTGCCGCGGGGGAGAAAGAGTCCCTGAGGTTGGGGTGCATCGGGGAGGGGGGGCCAAGAGGGGGGCAGACGGACAGACCGACAAGCAAGCAATGCACTAGGCGGTGCGTGGAAAATCCAGCGCACTCCCGTTCGGACCGCAGGACGGGCCAAGAAACGGCGGGGGTGCGCATCATGGCCTCGAGGCATGTGCGTGGACGAGTGGGGGCCAGCGCATGTGCCGAGAGGAAAAAAGAGAGGGCTACCGACTCTGGGAGACATCATGGCCCTGGACGCCCCCTCTCGGACGCCCCCAGTGAAAGAAACGGAGTAAAGATCAAGGCTCAATGAGGACAATACATTCGTGTCGAGATAAATCGGGAATCTCTGACACCCGGCGAATCTGGAAGATGCATCTGCCGGGCCTCCAAGCGGCGGAGCACCTCAGGACCTGTTTCTCTCCCGACCCCTCCTTTTTGTTGTGGCTGGCCTGAAGAGATCGGCCTGACCAAACCAGGGGCTCATTGCACCTCTGACTCGCGCCCGCAGCGCGTCCAGGAAGCCTGGAGTCAAAGCGGGAAGAGCCTTCCCGCCATACTCCAGCGCGCACTTGTCGCAAAATGTGTTGTATAAAATATTGGCTTTGCCAGCAAGCGGCTTCTGGTGCAGGTCCTCAAGACGACCTACCGCAGCGTCGATCGGTGGCGTCGTCGTCCTGAACAGCCTGCTCGCCCTGCCGACTCCAAAGAAGCCCGCTATCTGACCCAATGTGCCCGGTCCGCCAGAATGCTGGGAGAAAGCTTGCTTTCCGCAATAGTCGCATCTGATGTGGGTTCCGTTAATGTTTATGGCCTCCGTCAGCATGCCCCCGAAATTCATGTCGGCCTCCGCCGCCACGGCCATTCCCAAGATGATGCTGTGCGCCGTGCCCCCAATGCCATCGTACCTGCCGGGGATGTAGAGCGACGACGCGGATTCTCTCGCTGAGTGCCAGAGGGCCCCGAAAAGGGGCGAAAGCAGAGAAGGTTGGCCGCATCTCCTCCCCATCATGATTCAGAATACGGCAGGATCCCGCTTGACGACTTCGGTCCTAGCTTCTGACATTGGGTGATGTGCTGAATCTTGAACAAGGCGCTGCCGTTTCTATTTAGCGTTGCGGGTTCCGTGGCCGGAAACAAGCCATGACGAACCCCGTGAACGTGCTCTAACTTGACCGTCCGCGCTGGCGTCGCCGCCGCGTTGACGCGCGCGATCCTTCCGTCCCCAGAGGTCTCCGGGGGACTCCAAAAGGCATCGCGGAATGCCCCAGAAACCCAAGTAAGCAAAAACAAGATAACGTTCAATTCACCTCGATCCTCCTCCCCCTTCGGGGACACACTAACCCAGGTCAACGCAAACAACAGTCAATTGGCACGTGCAAGATCCTGCAAGATCCGCCGCGCCTGCCCGGGTCAATGCAACCCTGGTTTTGCAGGATGCTGCAAGACACGATGCTCTGGCTGAGCCCCGTTTGCATTGACCCCCGTCTCTTAAGCCCCGACCCCTCCTCAGTGGGCCACCTCTGGTCACAGTTGGACCGCTGGACCTCTCCCAAAAATCGCCCCGACAAGTTTTCTTCGCGCCGCGTCCAGCCGCGGCGACGGGGAGGCCCCCCGGAGGGCCGAACCACGAAGAACGAAGAGGAGGAGCAAGAGTAGGAACGACTGGCACAACAAACTACAGTCAAACCGTATCATAAGGACGCACGATGAGGATGCAAGGGCCTTGGAAGGTCATTTCGACACGTTGCGAACGGGGGGCGCGGCCAGCGAAGGCGGCCAAAAATTGCCCGAAAGGGGGAGGATGCAGGGGTACCCATGGAAGGCCGCTCATCCTTATCATGAAGGTAGACTGCAACACAGCAGCGGGAGGAACGCGCGACCGCCGCGTCGAGGCCCAACCTCCTCTGCCTTGGCCCCCTGCGGGGTCCTTTGGAAGCGCAGTCGTCGGCAGGCGGTGCCCAGGGCGCGCGCGGCGGCGAGGTGGCGCCGAGGGGCTCGAAGTCAAAGGCGGATACGGCGTCCTCAGAAAAGGGGCGCGGTAGAAAAGGGAGACTTGTGAGTGTAGGGGGACGGCCGAGGGGCCGTTCCTATACGGGATCCGTCGGTCGAGGCGAAGAGTTGGACTCCTTTTTTCCAGGGCGCGGCGCGGAGAGCAGTGCACCGTTGGTGCATCGCCAATACCTGAACCAATACAATTGCGGTGAGAAGGGATATTAAAAAAGGGAGGTGAGCGGACTTCACGCGCACACCCCGCCCCGAAACCTGCCAGTTCCCGATGGCCTCGGGCCCGCAGGAAACGACGGCAGGAGTCGGGAACAGAGGTGTGAGGTCCACTCACCACCCCGTTCCATCCACCGCCCCTTTCCACACGAGGGAGCAGTGGCTAGGAAAGGTGAAAGAGATAGAGAGAGAGAGAGAGAGAGAGAAACAGAGATAAATAAAGAGAGAGAGAGAGAGAGGGGGAGAGAGAGAGAGAGAGAACACAAAGAGAGAGAGAGAGAGAGAGAAAACGAGAGAGAGAGAGAGAGAGAGAGAAGGAGAGAAATAATGATAAACATATATATATATATAATATATATATATATATATATATATATATATATATATACATATACATATACATATATCTATAACAAACACGCCACGCGGGGTACTTAGGAATGTCTACCGACTTAACGGGCCCAGAATGCGCCCCCAAAAACACATCGGCACTACTGGGCGACGCTCGGTCACCGCAGGTGGCACGGATGGGGGAGCAAGGGAAAACGAGCAGCAAGGTGGCACCAGCATCCTTCGATGCAGGTGTTGCCACCGACGCGGCAGACGCGTAAAGGTGAAGCGGGTCGGAATTTTGACGGCGGCTCGGTCAAAGTAGGCTAGCTCCCATTCACGGGGCACTCCATGCCCAAAATATTGTCGGGGCACTCCAGGCCCAAGTGTAAAAAAGGTATTCGGATCGTTGTGTTGACAACTGATCTATGGAAATGTATCATGCATGATGTGAGGCACTCCAGGCCACAATTTACGTTGAGCTGTACATGCGAGGACTGATCATGGGTAAACTGCTACGCGCTGGCGGGCGACCTGCCTGGACGCGTTCACGCCCGATTGCCAATGTGCATCGTGTGAACCAAACACAAGATCGATATACCGTGTCAAGTCCTATATGTCATTTTCTCACATATATATAACACATAAATGTCAACGTGTCTCAATAAACGAATGAAGGGTCAAGACAATGATGCCGCTGAAATTCCAAAAGCAATGGTCATTTAATAGACAGCAACATGCGCAGTAATATTATGTCAATCGGTATCCATGTCTAGAACGGCTCGTAGCAGCGTTCGTCCCAAACACGATTTCCATAGTCACTGAACCAGCTGATGGTGATGGTCCTGAAGTTGCACCATGACCATATGCATTCGCAATCGTTGGCGTCGATGTAAACGCACTGGGACAGAAAATGCGGCCAGTATCTGCGCGCGTCGTGCCAGCGTTGGAGATCGCGACGCTACCGGGCATAGAAGTTGCGGCGCTCGCGCGCGGCACTCCTGCTGCGGCCGCGCTCTGCAGCGCCGTCGGGCGCCAATCTTGGCGGCGCGAGGGGGCGGCGCGATGTCGATGAGGAGCCAGCGCCACCAGTCCAGCCAGCGGCATCAGCTCAGCCAGCGCCGCCAGGAGCATAGGCGTCGGCGGGGCCATCGCGGCGCGGAGGTGGAGGAGCAGGGGTGAGGCGAATGGGTTCGTCAGAAGCAACTGAGAAGTCGCCCGTGTTACCCTTCGCGGCGCCATTGGGCGCCTGCAGGCGGAGCTCACTCAGCGTGGCCCGGTTCATTCGACCGTGTCCTCTCCCAGAGGGAGCTGAGACAATCGCGCATCCGCGGTCAAGGCGTCCGCCGCGAGGCAGCGCTCCGGGAGCCTGTGCCGGCCGGCCCGCGTGGCCAGACTGCGCAGTGACATGGTGCAGTCGCGTGCCCCCCCACATGTCCTCCAACGTGAACGAACGCCGGTGATTGATAATCCTGGCCTCGGTCATCCGATGGGGGAAGATCGGGTCTCCCTGGTGCCGGGTGACCAGATCAGCGCATGGGCGATGAAGGGCGGTGCCTTCCTTGTCGGCGACTTCTTCTCCACCGATGCGACGCTGGCCGGGGGTCGGTCTACCGGCCGCCAGCCATTTGGCGTGTCGGACCTCGGCTTTGTAAGCCAGTCTGCGTGGATAGTCCTTCTCGGCGGCAATGTCAGAAGGCTGTCCCTGGATGTGAATCTGGACGTCCGCGCGCGCAAGCTGGCGAGCGATGTTTTCGCCCATTGATTCGCGGATCCACTTGTGCACATCTTTCTGGAACTGAATCTGGAACGCACGTGTTCCCCCATGTCTAAATGACTCACCGCACGCGTGGCGCAGGCCATCTTCGCATGTGTTGCTATTAAGGAGGTCGCGGCAGCAGCTAGAACAATGGCGCTGTGTCAGCCGCGCCATTCTCAATGCGTACTTGAATGCGATTGCGAAAGTTGCCACCGGCGCTCAACTTCGGGCCGACTTCGCGAACATCATGATTTGCGACGAGGTGGGCGCGATCGGTGGCCAGATCGTTGGCCAAATACTCCAATCCCTTATCGGTCATGGGATCAGATATCCCCAGCCACGATTTGGTCGCGAGCATGGCGTGCTGAGGCCGTGCCCTGATGATCTCGCAGGAGTTTCTCCGCTCTGCGGCGAAGCTCCTGGTCCAGTGCATGTTGGTCGCTGGCGTCGCCCATGCCATCGTCATAGTCGGCGCGCAACGCGTCCACGAGTTGTTCCTGGGCAGAAGCAACGGCCGACGCTGTGCTTCCAGGGTCAGTGGCAGGGGCAGCAGCTTCAGCAGGTGGCGGAATGGCGTCATCCCTGAGATTGAACTGATCTCTCATCGGGCCCGTCAACATGTCACTGTACTTCGGATCGGAGAGCGCCGTCGTTTCCCAGAGGTTGAGGAGGGACGCCAAAGCGAGGTGATGCTTGAGGATGTCCGGCGCAGGTGTCCACCAAACGCTGTGTAACATCGCTCTGTCTGATGGCTCAACGATGTGGAATCTAACGGGGGAGCACAACATCCTCAGTGTCATTCCAAGTCATCTCCGTCATCAATCATCGTACGCATGAAACGGCTGTGGCTACACATGTTCGGCAGTTGCTTGGCCCATGGACTGACGGGGTTGAAAATCATCCTGCACCAATCAGCCTTGAGGTCGAAACTGAACCGTATCTCGAGATGATTGTCGCAGTGGTACGCCGTGCACAGTTGATCCACCCCGCGCATGGGGGAAGCCAACGTCGAGATATTCTGCGTACCCCTGCCATTCGCACGGAGGCTCATCATGGCCTCATGCGAAAATTTGGCAGAGATGGGCGACAGGTCAAACGGTGATTTCGATAGTCGTAACAAGCCTCGTCTCAGCGATCTTGGCGCCCCGATTGCCGTTCTTCTGGAGTGCGGGTGTTTCCACCGACGTGTCGCTAGGGATGTCGTCGTCGATGAGCCCAAGGTGCACGTCGCAATCGCGTGAATTGAGGTGGTCCATTAACCACGCAAGCAACTCAGTGCGCAGTGGAACTGCGAATGGAAAGCCGTGCTGATCGTCATTCTTCTCGGAGTGCCAAATGTTGGCCCAGAGTGGTCCATGACCCTGGCATGGCATCTGCGCGCTGACGTATGGTCCGTTGTGAACAACGTCCATGATGGGTCCGAAGATATTCCCTTTTCCCAGCGTGGGCGCGACATCTTTCTTTGCTGGATACAAGCGACCAACGGCGCGACAACGGGCAGAGCCATGCAGTCGCGTGTAAATGAAGTCATATGCACGGATGACTCGAAAGCGACTGGCACGGTCCCAGGTCCCCAGGAGAAATGTCTTCACAAGTGGTTCGAAGTATTCCTTCTTGCAGTCGTCCACGATCTTGCACCAATGAATGGTGTTCAGGAAGTCCGCGTCGGTTAGAAGTCGGTGCAGGTGTTGCCAGTGGCTCCGCTCCGATGAGGATTCGATCCAATTGGGACTCTTCTTGCCTTGGCCCTGGTTGCAGTCCTGGCCGTCTGGGAACATCCGCTGCGGCGAAGGAAAAGGAAGAACGCGTCCCCGTAGGCGTAGGCTTGGGGCGTGGCGTCGGGATGCGCGTCCGCAACTGCTCTGCAGGTGTCGCCGCCGGCGCAATCTCCAGACCTCGCACCAGCTGCGCGGCGCCGGAAGTTTAGCCAATTCCGGATACTTCCAATTCGGAACCATGTCTGGGTCAAGAGGGCCGCCCCCGACCATTCTGATAGCCAGGATGGCCATTGGAAGAATAATCTGGGGGCGCATGGTGGCCCTTGTTCACCGGGCAAGAACTCACGGCCAGCGATTGTGGCTGAATGCATGTCGATGACCACGTCGACCTGCTTCTTCATGTGCTCGAACTTGTATCCAGGGAACGCAGTGTGGGAATTCTGTTCGCAATGAAGAACGGAAGAACTCGAACTGTAAAACCCCTCGTGCCGTGTCTGGCGTTCGGCACCGTAGCCTGGAATGATGCCAATCTTGCGGATGCTGTGCCAGGCGTCGCGTGTATTGACGTGGTGCACGAACTTCACGTCCGTCCATGAGAGACGCTCCCAGACCATGTTCCACGGTCGGCTGTTGTTGTGCACGGCGGCGTGCCCGCCAATGGTGCGAATGGCTACTGCATTGCCCCGCGCAAAGTCTGATCCTGAAGCGTCTGGGGCAGCGCGGCGGACAAAGACCTGGAAGCGGGCCTTCTCGCCATCGATGGGCAGCTGTAGGGCGCGAGAAACAGTGATCACGTAGTATTCACGTGCACTTTGCCACTGTTGGCCATGATCGTTTGCCTGAAGCATGGGGGCATGGACCGCGGACCTATTTGGGCCGCACTCGTTTTGAGTGCACGCCTCCGAGACGATATGGCTGAAAGCTTTGGAGCGATTGGCCACGGCCCATGCGTCGGCGTCTTCGTGCTGCCACGCATTGACACGGCAGTCCAGAA